ATATGCATATGCTGACAGGGTGCTGTCACACATGAAAAACTTGGCTGCGGTCAAAGTCGTGACTTTGATATGGGCCATGGAGCTGAAAAGATGAAGAATGTCTTATTCACTGGTCCAAGACCATGAAGTGAAATTATGAGAAGAGAACTCCAGGTCATTAAGAACAAGACAACATAGTTTGAACCCCTGGAATGATTCTTACCTTTAAGAACTAATGTAATAAAATAGAGTGATATACTTCACTACACTTTGTAAAGCAAAAATTCTGTATAGGCATGAGAGGTATCACTAATGTTTGAAAAGTTGTTAGCACACTACAGTAGGAAAAGCTCTGGCCTGGGAGCTAAGACTTTTGAATTCTAGTGTTGATTTTGCTATTAACAATCTGGGGAAACATGGACAACTTCTCTTATGTCCTTTGTCCTAACTTGGGGACTGGAAAACTAAAGGATGACTTGGGTACATTTCTCCCATTAGTAGGGAAATAAAAATAAAAACTGGCATAAGTAGGGTTGCCCACTGGACTGAGAGCAAAGCTTCAGGAAGGACAGGAGCCAGGTAGGTGTTCAGGAGCTCTGGGCAGCACTACTGTCCCAGAGATTGAGCAACCAGGATGGCACATGGACCGTTCAATCAGAATGAATGCCTACAGCCAGACTTCAGCAGGGACCTAGAGGCCCTAAGCTGATCCAAGGCCCTGTTGGTCAGAGAAAAATCTGGGCAGTGGCCCCAGAAAGGTGATAGTAGAGAGGATATTCAGGGTTGTGAGCCAGCAGCTATCCACCAACTGGCCTTGAAGCATTTTGATATTTTAACAACCAGTAAGCCACTTTGGAGTGCTCCTACTGGGTATAAGAGAAGCATCTGAATGTGGGGAGCTGGCATTCCTACCATTCTCAATGTTAGGATGAGCTGAGATAAAAGTTCATCTAATACATTTTTTTCTGCTCTTGTTTTCCACCACTTAATACTCATGTTTGAGGGAGGAGAGTATTCAGTTGGCTTAGTTTACAGTTTATGCCTATACTTGGGTGGGGAAACAGGGCACTGACACCTCCAAATGATAGACACCCCCCTACATCCCTGCAACTGCATCCGATGAAGTGAAGGCAGTTTCCTAAAGGAATGCAGAGCTCTTCATATCTCACTCTAGGGTGAAATACAAAATATTTAACAGCTGCTATGGCAGGTTCTTCTGTCAATTAGGAAGAACATGGATCCTTGAATTTGGGGCTGGGTCCTGAAGGCTCCCTACTATGCTAAAGTTAACTGTAACCAGCTGTGCTGCTACAAGAGGAAAATACCAGAGTCACAGGAGCAGGAGGTCAACACTGAGTAATGGAACATCAGAACAGGGATTGGGGATTTGGGCCATGGTGCTTGGTTGGTCATAGGCGTGGTATAGTATTATCAGCTGGCTCCTATCTGTTGAGTATGAAGGGAGAAGGGATGCTGGGCTCTAGGGATCACAGCTGACTGTTACAGAGCCACTGAGGTAGAACTGCAAATGACTCATTCAGCTGGGTACTTTGGTTTGCTACAGCATGCTTGAGGTGTGATGGTATTATTGATTTTCATCATGACTAGGAGATAGGGTGGCTGCTACTGGAATTTGGCCTATGGGATTAGCAATGGCAAATATTCTACAGAGTTCGGGGTAGTGCTGCTGTCCCGCCCAAAATGCCAGCAGAACTTCTTGTAAGAAACATTGAGAGGCTGGGATTTAGCCAGTGGTAGAACATTTGCCAAGGAGACCCAGGATTGGATACCCAAGCACAGCAACACACACAGGATACATTGAACAGAAAATCTTTCAGAAGGAACTGCTGAAGAGTGTAGAGCCATATGCAACGGGCAGAAGGGGTAGAATACCAATTTGAGTAATGTAGTTTTCATAAATACATGTCATTTAATCCATTGACAATCCCCTAAGGTTTAAATAACCACCTTCTTCTTATACATGAAGAGTTAGGTTTAGCAAGGCAAAATACCTTCAGCAGGTGAAAAACAGGCAAAGGACAGAGCCTTTCAATTTAGGTTTAAGTCTAAAGCCTTCCTGCAAGATTTCAGGGGACTAAGAGGAGAGGGGCAGTGTGTGTGTGTGTGTGTGTGTGTGTGTGTGTGTGTGTGAGAGAGAGAGAGAGAGAGAGAGAGAGAGAGAGAAAGAGAGAGAGAGAGAGAGACTGGGGAGAAATGAAATAGAATTATAGTCATGTCACAAACTCAGGGTGAGAATCAACTGTGGGAAACTGGAATTCCTAGATGGAAAGGAGAGACATTTTTGCAGGGTCTTCTGGTCTTGTTTCTATGATTCAGTTCTCTGTACTCTACCACACTCTGAGGGATGACTTTAAGATAAATGTTGAATAAACACTCCTGTAAGGACTAGAAATTTACATACAACTGCAACTATATGGAAAACTGATTAAAACCAACTATGCTGAGCTAACATTAACTGAAATTTATTTACTAACAAGTTAAAGAGATAAAGGAAGTATGAATTCGATTTTTTTTTTAAAAAATAAGATTTTGTATGGTCATTAAATCAATACAAATCATGTAAGACTTTTTATTTAACAAACACGATTTCTTTGTAATTATGGGATTTTGTATATGTTTTTTTGTTTTAAAGACCATCAGGTAATATCTTCTTTTCTTAATTTTCTGTAATGAAGCAATCATACTCCCCTCCCATCTTTTCCTTTCAACCTGTGATAACGTGCAACTCCCTCCCCCAAGGGAATTACAAGAAAAGTTTGTACCCGTCACCAGCATCTTGGTAAGAACGAAAAGCAAAAGAGTAAATTTTCGTTAGTTAAGTGTGGAATAGAATAAGCACTTGTATTAAGCGGGGAGGGGAAAGATCTAACCAAAGTAGTAACTGTCTCTAGGTACTGCATTTAGGGAACGCTACTTGTCAATCTCCTGAGTTGGTGGGCGTCTTTCTAGTTCCCGCCCTTCAAAACCCCGCGCAGACACCAGGTGGCGCTGTCGCTCTGGCAGTACTGCGTCCAGAGCCCTCGGTGGGCGCTGTTCCTCTAAAGGGCTACGCTGGCCATCTGACCCCAGAGGAAGGGGTTCAGTGAAGCGCGGAAGCAGAACGGCGCCTTACTGAGGCCGCGCCCTGTGGCTGAGCAGAAGCCAATTTCCACCCCAAAGTCATGCAGGGCGGCGGCGGGAGCTGGAGCCCGCCCTTTTCACTCCAACCGCAACACTGAAGTTCAGAGCCTGGGTAGGGGCGCAAACACTAAATTCGAGGAGCGCAGAGGAGGCGGCTCTGAGCAGTTCGGGTGGTTGGAGTGTGGGGAGGACCACTTTGCAGGGTGTCAAACATTACAGCTCCTTCTGCTGGATTCTCAGCTGAGCATGAAGGAGGCAGGTTCCAGGACTTTCGAAGGGTACTCCTTGCCCTTTCTCTTCTCTCCATCACCAGCTTTCTGCGGTGACGAAATACTGTCTTTTCAGTTTTCCAAGGCGAGAAGGTAATTTCTCACAAAAATAGGGTCTTGCTAAATCCCCAGTTTCTGCGCAGCCTCTCTTAACATTTGTGAGCGAATC